TGGAGTTTCCTTCTAAGTCTCCTGTCTTGGACTTGATCCCTGTCAGAACACTTCCTGGGGGCGGGGGGTTCTTTAGGATGGGCCCTCTGTAGAGCATAAAGGGCAATGAGACTAACCCCCACCCCACCCCCAGATGCATTTTAGCTGGAAATGAGCTAGAATCAGCCTTTCTCTACGTAGGTGAATTGAAGGTATCTGCATGCACGCATTTATGAGTAGGAACGCTTTATCTTTATATATTTATCTTCCTCTTTATATCTTTCACAGTTAAATGGCCCACACATTTAACTGTGAAAGATATAAACATTTAAAACCATAAATTTCATATATGGTGTTCCTTTTTTGAAAACAGAATAGAAAAATATTGGTAATGTTTTCAGTGCAGCTTGCTCCCATTAAAAGCAAAGGTTCAATAAAGATAGCTTGAGTATATGCAAGTTTACTCATAAGTCAGTCCTGTTGAATTCAGTGCATAGGGAAATTATGCATAAAATTGTAATTTTATCAATTTCATTAAAGCTGATAAATCAAATTTCTGTAATAATAGTTTTCCCCGGGTTTAGGCTGCACTCTTGTATATACTTCTGCAATGATAATTCCTACTGAACTCTGAATGACTTTCTTCTGAATTGTATAGATCAATGACTGTTCATGTTGCTTTTGGCTATAATTCCTTTTAGAAAAAAATCCCAGTCCTTTCCATCTCATTTATGGTAAGTTCTTATCAAAACATGGCACCCTCCAAATTCTCTTCCATGACATTAAATAGCTACACTACAGTTCTTTGCCTGTCTTTTAGAACTACGTTTCACCAGATTTGCAGGAATTTATTCAAAGCCAAGTATGTATGAGATTGCACCTTTATCCTATACACATTTACATGGGAACAAGTCCAACTGTGATGGAGAATGATTTAGTTACATCCTGCTCGGATTACTATAGCAAGCTGTATATAGGGCTGCCTTTGAAAAGTATTCAGAAACTTCATTTGAAGCCAGACTGCAGTGGGTTACAGGAGGCATATAACTTCCATACTACAGCTACTCCATGGGCTGCTGTTCTGTTTCTGGACCCAACTGAAAGTGCTGTTGATGAACTCTAAAGCCAAGCCCTATACTGCTGGTTTCAAGTTAGCTGAAGGACTGCATTTCCCCATATTAGCCTCTACGGGTTTTCAGGTGTTCAAGGCAGGCTCCCTGTCCATCTCATCACCCCCACTGACACTCAAGAAAAGGCCTTTTTCCACAGGAGGCTAGATTGGACGCCTCCCTGTTGTCCTTCCACCAATAGGCAAACAGTCTTTCTCTTGAGGCAAGCGTTTGGCATCTCAATAGGCTGCAGCGGGGAGGGGGGGAGAGAAGTTAGTGAGGGATGCTGCATTGTTTCTTGGTATAATTTTTTATATATATCTGTGTTTGTTTTTCTTTTTAATTTATTTCAAGTTAATGGCATTCTAATATGATTGCATATTTAACTGCATTTTTCATATTATAGTTTAGGCATCTCTGTATCTTTCTCTCAACATTCTGTAAGGTGCCTTGAGTTGGGAGAGAGGCAGGAGATAAATTAAATGAATTGAAATTAGTCTCCTTGAGTTTAGGAGGACTGACTTCAGAGTACAAATGAATAGCATCGTATCATATCAGTTGATCATATTATACTCTTCCTTTGAGGAGTTCCATACATTATACATGTACCTTCCCACAATATTTTAGCTTCACAAAAACCCTGTGAGGCACATTAGGCTGAAAGGAAGTCCAAAGTCACCCAATAAGCTTTTTGCCTCCCATTGTTTAATTTGTTGAAACATTTCTGCTGTGTTTTAGCTCAGAACAATGGGCCTGGAAACATAATGGGAGCCAGCATGATTCACAAAGAACAGGTGTCCAATGCAAACTCCCCAGTTCCAGATAATGTTTTAACAGCCCTGGGGTGGGTGTGTTTCTATTGTAGTTTTCAAACCATTTACAAAAGCAGCCTCACATACAGTGCATTGTACTAGTCTGGATGGGAGCATGATAGAACATAGTGGCTAACTGTCTCCACTCAGGAATGCCAGCTGAAGCTCAGTAAAAGAGACTTTGAAGGACAAGAGCCCACCAGAAATCTACTGGTTCATTACTGCTTCCAACCACTGTCTGATCAAAGTTTAGAAAGATGGGTGACGCCTCTCCCAGCAATTTTATGTAGATTTCAGCATGAGAGATTAGAAGCTTGGGGCATTCTGAAGCTTTACTGGGAATATACCAAGCAGTAATCTCCCAACACCATCTTCTGGAAACCACTTGGGAAGTCGAAGAGGAATCCGTACCCAATGGTGCCTCCAATGGTCAACATGGACAGCCTATACAGAAAGTTGCCATGGTTGATGGTACTGAAAACCACTGAGAAGTTCAGTAGAATCCACATGATCTCATCCCCATGCCATCCTTCTTGGAACATGTTAAAAGTAATGTTATGTGCCATGAAGTTGGAACTGACATATAGTGACCCTAATAGGGTCATTATTAATAATATTAAGGGTAAGTGAGATATTTAAGGAGTGGTTTTACCAGTTCTATGCCCCCAATTAGTTTCCATAGCTTAGCAGGAATTTGAACACAGGTCTCCTGAGTCGTAGTTCATCACTTCATCCACTACACCACATTATATATGGCATAATGTTACTCATTATGTATTATGTATTTTTCTTTTTTGAGTAACAACTACTGAGGTCATTACTTTTATGTGGTACTGGTATATTTATGTATTACTAATATATCAGAATCCTACTGGTGTCATGCTGCATAAACATAAATCATGTGAACAGCGTGCCTGTGATCTTGCTAGCTGTTCACTGCTCACTCAGACATGCCTGGGTTCCTGGGTGCTCAGCTGACATCAAACCCAAGCACATGACAGATGGCCAGCAAAAAGTGAACATTACTTTGTCAGGTTCCGAGTTGTGCGCAGTCGCCTTTACCAGCAGGGGCAAGGGCACCAGGACCCAGCCAACAGCACAGAGGGCCAAGCCCAAACTCACACATGGACCAACGAGCCAGGATAGGAGCAGAAACTGAAGCACCAGGACTGGAACCCAGCCACAGTAGTGGGAGCACTGAGCCAGAGCAGGAATGTAAGGTCAGGAATACTGAAGTTCAGAGCAGGAACGGAAGCCAGAGCAGCAGGGCTCACGAACACAGGAACAGCATGGCCAAAGACCTATGTTTCTGAGGCAGCTTCTGGGAGGGAGAGTCCTTCCTTAAGTAGGCCTTCCCTCAGGATTCCCAGGTGGACCTCATGGGAGCCCCAGCAGTTGATGCCCTGGCAGGGTTTGACCCTGCAAATGCCAGGCACTTCCAGGGACCAAGCTGGCCCCAGTTCTGCAGCTGCCAGGGCAGTGATGCAGGGAAGTCCTGCTGCCACCCAGATCCTGACATACTTGCCCAATTACTTTTACATCAATGGTATTTTGCAGTAGGATTTTGAGCTTTGTTTCAAATGTTTGAGTGTGACTATAATCTTATTTGCAGGGGTCTTTGGGGGGGGTATATTTTAATTTTAGTACATATTTTCTATACCATATTACTAATAAGCAATATAGTACACATTATTTTTTTGCTGTTTAGTAATTAAATAAATGAAACTATTATAAAGTAATGCTACTGTGTTAGGCTTTAAAGGAACTTTTCTAACCACTGGTCTTTTTTTTTTCACCAAAAGTCATCCGACAGGGTGACCAAGGCAGGTTTGTCCCAAATAATTAATCGAATTGAAACTTTACAAAGACAAACTCAATCTTCAAAATTCTTAAATCAATTTCCATTCCAACACAGCACAGCCCAAATCAGTTCTTATTAAATTAATTTGCCCAGATATTTCAATATGTGCTCCAAAATCAGTTTCCCTTCAATTAATTTGTTGTTATGTGCTGTCAAGTTGGAACCAACCTAATAGGATTTTCCAGGTAAATTGGATATTTAAGGAGTGGTTTTATTAGTGCTACACCCAAGTGAATTTCTATGGCTGAGCAGAGATTCATATCCAGATATACTGAGTTCTAGTCCATCAAGTATATCACTGGGTGGCTCTTCAATTATTACCCCAATTCAATTCAGCTCTGTTCAATTAAATCATCACCCCCACCTGTCAAATTGAATTCAACATAACTAGGGTGCATATCACCCTAAACAGGGCAATGGGAGGTTAGGGCATTTCTACAATGAGACATGGTAGCTAATCAATCCATCTTGCATTTGTTAAACTTAATTAACATAACCAAAGAGAAGCTGGCAGGTGAGTTGCTATTGAAACCTCACATTCCTCCAGTTAGGACAAAATACATTGATCTTATTTCTTTTCATGGATAGTGTACAGAGATGGAAATGGCTTCCCCATCAGACATAGGGAAACTGAACATACTCTTCGGTTTTTTGACACTATCCCTCTTGTCTTAGCTGAAGCCTGATATGCTGCCATTTAGTTGGTGAATCATTTCCTGACTTAGAGATAAATGATGGGGAAAGTTTCAGGTGCTTTATCTGCTTATTACTTTTGGCTGTAGTCCACATTAAATTACTTTAAAGCACCCTTAAATTACATTGACATAACTGGTTCTTGTCTGTGCAAATCAGCAGCAATAAGAAGTGCTCAGTTTTGGCTGCTTCTGAGACTTTCCCTGTGTGCCATTTAAAATCTAGGGTTTTTTCTTTTCCACCTTTTGTTTGATTAGTTAAGCATGTACGTTTAAACATGTGTTTGCTAGTTTACTGAAGCTATACCTCATCCAGATGACTGCCTTTGAGTTTTCAGATGTCTCCATGTTTGCTGATCATTTGGATGATAACTTTCCTTGACATTTGATATTTCACTGATACTTAAAATGCTTGTTATGCCCCTAAGTGTATTAATATGAAATCACTGGAACACTCCCAAAGTTTGTTATTGCTGTTGGCATTCTAAAGTTGAGCTGTGGTAACTGCTCCTTAGCTATTTCGGGTTTTTTTCTTTCTTTTTTTCAGGTGGATGGATTTCTGACACTGCTGTTTGGTCTTGCTAGCATTAATACACTGACAGTCATTAGTGTGACCCGCTATGTAAAGGGATGCCATCCTGATAGAGGTAAGGTGTTTTTTTAACAACACAGAATTCATTATACGTATTGTTCTGCTTTGGCCTGATTTCTCTCACCATAGGTTATACCTGCAATGATGAAAAGCAACAATGTTCATGTGGCCCCCCTAAAGTGTATCAAGCATTGTAGGCTTTTCATAGATTCCATGTACCCGAAAAAGTTTTTTTATGAACATTTATGCCAAATAAACCTAGTTAGCATTTAAGATTCCATAACATTATCTGTTAATTTGACTGCAATCAATAAACATGGCTACAACCCAGGAAATTATTGAAAATATTTGTTGTAAGGAATGTTAGTTACCCACTTTCCTAGATAGGCTGTTTTGTGCAAATTGAAATTGCTTTTATGCAATGGTAAATCATGGATTCTTATTACAGAAATGACAAGATGCATTAGACTTACATACATTATTACCTCATCCTGCTCTCCATCTCTGGTGTAGCTATTCAGCAGAAAGTGGCAGCATCCATTGTCGAGTATCCACTGTTACTGTAATTGTAATGTCTCAACCCGGACAAACTGCAGTTGGCATATATATATATGTTATATTTTGAATCAAATTAGATAATATGCTCAGCTGATACTTAGAAGAAGTCATGCTCTTTGACATAGTGAAAACCTTTGCCTCTCATTACCTCATTATTGTGCATTCCAGGCTGATCTGTTTTCTGATTGGACACCAGAAGATAAACATGGGTTTAATTTGTAAGTCTATTCAGTGAGGCACAATGCTCTAAGGAGACCCCCATGCTGGAGAAAAAGCATGCTGATAGCAAGAGAAACACTGTCTCATTAAATCCACAGACTAATCACAGGCTTGGACCTGCATCTATAACACACAGCCTTGGTGCTTTTTCAAGGTGTTGTGGGAAGACAGAGATGCTTTTGATTCCCAAAGAAACTGTTCTGCTTTGCTCCGCCCATTTCCACTTTGAGGAAGTCTGCATAAGCTCAACCAGTTCAGAAACAGAGGGATCAGGCATGATAATGAAATCTGTGTGTTTTAGAAGTCAAGCCAATATAAAACTGATCAGATTCATTAATTAGTCAACAGATATATGTGCTACCTTACCACACAGCAACTGATTCATTTGGTCTGCTCTAGCTGGGGCTCTCAATATAATTCTACCTATGCCTATTGGTAAATGGATTCCTGGTCTTCTAAATTTCTTTGTGCAACTTTCTTGTGCATGTGTAGGCATTGTATGATCATGCAGTTAAGATCTTGTGTCCTCCCTGTACCATTTTAAAACATGCTAAGCTCTAACTTTTCCTGATGTACATTTCAGGTCAGTGTATCAGCAACAGCAGCATTTCTGTGGCACTTATTCTCATATGGATAGCAGCCTTCTTCTGGTCAATTGCTCCTGTCCTGGGATGGGGCAGTTACACAGGTAATGGAATAGTTTCAGCTACATTGCAAAAGGTGGGGAAGCTATTCTGCATTGTGTCACAGTCCTTATGTAGGGCAGTTATGCCTTAGTTGCTGCAAAAAAGCAATAATGTCAAGAAACTCAATATTTGGCTTTTGTACACTCTTTCTATTTATTCATACTTCCAAGTTCTGGAACTGGTGCATCTGAAAAATGAGCACACACTTTTGCTTCAATTTCTTCCACTTACACAGCATGAACTCTCTCTAAATAGGTGAGGAATTAAGTTTTACAGACCCACAAAGCTGAGGAGCTGTTCTGCATATATCACAATTGCCACCTCTGCTTCTGGCATGATCAATTAATTGGTCACCGATTATGCGGATAACATGCATCAATTCTGTATGGAAACTGTTGTTACAGTCAATTTATCTATGGGGGAAAAGGGGGCGTAAAGGTAGGTCATTGCTGCTGCTGCACAGGAGCAGCCCTGAACAAAGCAAGGCCCACAATGTAATATGTATTCATTAAGTTCCTGAAGTATTTTGCATTTGGAATTCTAAAGGGAAACCTCTCTGCCCCAAGTTCAAAGATTTGAAAAGTATAGCAAACTGTTTATTAGGAGGGCTTGTTAACCAGGTTCTTTTGCTTCCTAGATCGCATGTACGGAACATGTGAAATCGATTGGGCAAAAGCCAACTTCTCCACAATCTACAAATCTTACATCGTCTCCATTTTCATCTGCTGTTTCTTCCTCCCTGTGTCGGTCATGGTTTTCTCATATGTCTCCATCATCAATACAGTCAAGTCAAGCCATGTACTGAGCGGAGTGGCTGATCCAACGGACAGGCAGAGGCGTACGGAACGAAGTGTCACAAGGGTCAGTCTGGCTTCTCCTCCTGCTCCTTCTTTCTTTCTTTCTTTCTTTCTTTCTTTCTTTCTTTCTTTCCTTCTTTCCTTCTTTCCTTCTTTCCTTCTTTCCTTCTTTCCTTCTTTCTTTCCTTCTTCCTTCTTTCGTACCTGAGAAAGGCAACTGTTCAAGTTCAAGTTTACTGCATTGGCTAAAAGCTGTCACAATTGTTTAAAATACAAATATGATCAAATAAAATCATGATAAAATCACAGACAGATAAAATAATAAGAGACCCTTCATATCTGGGAGTCTCCCGCACAATTGATCGCGGTGGCTTTCAGGAAATTAGCACAAATATTAGCACAAAAGGCAACTGCTAGGAGTCGCTTGCACCATTACCACAACAAAATTCAGCAGGGGCAGCTAATGTTGCTGCCCAGTGTGCAGAGCAGACATATCTTTTCCTTCCAGAAGTGAAGACGTTTGTTTTTTCCTGTGGTTATCACGGGCTGTTCCTTTTTAGGCAGCACACCATCTAGGCTCAGCTCCATGGGCTCCAAACAGGCAGCTCCAGCCATTCCACACATAACTGTCTTGAATGGGTGCCTTGTATAGGTTTCAGGTTATTATGTTCCTTTAAAGCAAAAAGAAGAAGCAGCAGCAACAGAGGTACAGGCACTGGTGCAAGGCTAGCTCTAATCATGGACAATTAGCGGCTGTACACATCTAAAATGCTGCAACTCACTTCAGCAACCTGGTCTAAGGACCGTAAATAAACTATTCTATTCACTTCAGCAACAACTGGATCAGCAACCTGGTCTAAGGACCGTAAATAACTATTCTATTCACTTCAGCAACAACTCAACACTGAGGTCCAGATGTGCCTCCAGCTGTGTATTTGCATCAATGAGAGAGAAACTGCATCTAAGTACAGCTGTAAACCAGCTGGGTTGGAAAATGAGCAGCTAAGTCGAGCTATTTGATGGAACCACATTTGTCTTGAGGCCCCAGTTTCTGGTCTGTAATATAAATTACATTTAGTATCCTTGCTGCTATTGCTATTATGTTGCTTTTGATTGATGGAATCCTATGAATCACTGACCTCCAAGATGTTCTGTCATTAATGGTTGCTCTCAGATCTTGCAAACTAAAGGTGATCACTTCCTTTATTGAGTCAAATCCATCTCATTTCAGTTTTCCTTTTTTTCTCCCTTTTGCCTTGTGCTTTCCCCAGAGCTATTGCCTTTTCCTTTGATTATGCTCATGATATGCCCAAAGTATAATACCCTAAGTTCACTCATTTTGGCTTCTAGTGTGAGTTCAGACTTGATTTCATCTAGGACCTGCTTGTCTATCTTTCCCGCAGTTCATGGTATCCATAAAGCTCTCCTTCAATACCGTATTTCAGATGAGTCAATTTTTTTCCTGTTGGCTTTTTTTTTATTGTACAGCATTCACATATATACATAGCAATTGGGAATAGTATGAGTGCTCTTGGCTTTAATCTCCAGCAGCGTCTCCTTGCATATGAAGATTTTTTTCTGGTTCTTCCATAGCTGCCCTTCTAAGTCTCAGTCTTCTGGTTTCTTAGCTGCAGTCTCCATTTGGATTCATGACTGAACCAAAAGATAGAGAAATCTTTAACTATGTTGCCTACATTGAAGTTATATAATCTTTATGTAATCTTTTGTCCTCTTGTCCTAAAGTTACTGCAAGCTTGGCATCTTCTGTCTCCGGGACTAGTATGTGCATTAAGCATTTCTAGTCTGTGGGCCATTGTTTTGTTTTCAATACTTACTGACATATTCTTGTTAGGATGTTAGCCTTCATAGCTTGAAATAGCTCTGTTGGTATCTTATCTATTATTGGTGAATTGTTTCTTCCAAATGCCGTAAGAGCAGTTTTTCTTTCACTTTCTAATGTTAAAGGCTATTCATCATTTCTTTGAAGGAAATTGCCTTTATTGCAACTTTTTTTGCATAGTTGTTCAGTATGTTGTATCCATCTGGTCTTATTTTTATCCAGATCAGCATTCCTAATCTTATGATAATTGTAATTTTCCTTAATTTTTTTTACTAAAATGCTGTTGCTTAGTATAATAAGTTGTAACTTTATTGAATCAGCAAGTGAGTCAACTACTGTTAAGTCTGTTCAATGGGCCTACTCTAGTTGTGGCTTTGTATATTAAGTAACAGGATTTCAGTTTTTGGATCTTATCAGAGATATTTCTTTTTCTTATTTTCTGGCTGTCCTCTTGTTTCTTTTCAGTAATTCTTTTTATAACAGTTCTTTTTGTCTCTACGTGCAAGTTGTCAAAAAGATGTATTTTGAATTCTCACCCTATTTCTGTCTCTTATTAACCTTAATTTTTGTGTGTTGTTAACAATTTTAAATGTTTCACTAGTCATAAATCAAAGCTTTTCTTTTGTTTCCAGAAATAGTCTTTTTTGTATATTTCCCTGATTATAATTCTGATTTCATCACACAGTTCTCCTGGTTTCTGGTCAGCTGAACACAGTAATGCAAATCTCTTATTTAAATTATTAAATTTAAGTTTTTCAGGAATGTAATTTAAAGTATATTTCAGTATTCTGTTCTTTTTCAGCTTTTCTCTTATTCCTGATGTTAAGAACTGTGTGTGTGTTCCTGTTCTGGGTTTCTCAGAGAAAATGGAGCGTCCTTGTCTTCTGCTTCTATTTACAGTCTGTTTGATTTCTATATTGTCCATTCAGTCATGTCTACGTATACAGTCCTCTGTTCAGCTGCCCAAAGCATATATTCATAATTAACAGTTTGTTGGCTTCTCAGAATTCTGTGACTCGCTTTTCTGCTTCTTTTTAACTTCTAGGCTGATGATATTTGGTTATTTCATACTTCTGTGATTATCAGCACATCCTATTTTGTGTGATCAGTTTTCTCCTGGATTCTTTATAAAATACTAATAATATAATAATATTTATTTATATTGTGCTCTCTATCAGAGTTCATTCCAACAGTCAAAAACAGTTAAAATATAACCATAACATAATTACAATGATGAAAACATACAGTAAGCAATTATAATTCAATAAGGCATTAAAAACAATACAAATAGCTGTAATAACAATATAATAATTAAAGTATAGTAATTCTATCCCAATAATTACCTATTTCCATGGTCAACCCCTATGGTTCCAGGTTGAACAAGTAGATTTTTAAGTTTCGTTTGAATTTGTCCAATGCTGGTTCCACAAGAAGGTACTGCAGAAGGAAATCCCATCTATTTCTTCTTCTTCAGCATCTGTAGCTGAAGCACAGATTTAAACAATGGTTATGTTGAGAGTCTTTCCATGAAAGTTGCTATTATTTGATCATACTTTGCATTAATTTATTTTCAAATTGTTGTTTCTTATATCAAGCCTTTGTGTCTGTTGTTTTCAAAATATTCTCCATGTTCACTGTCTTAAGTAATTTTTCTCTGCTTGTACTGATATAATCATTTAGGCTTCCTCCTCTACTACCTGCTCGAGTTGTTATTGTTGTTGTTGTTTAGTATAATCTCTTACATAGGGAGATGGAAAGTGGGGATGAGAATGAGCTTCATTTTTTCATTGTCTCTCATCTAGGTCTCCATCGTTATTTGCACAGCCTTTATCACTGCTTGGTCCCCATATGCAGTCATCTCCATGTGGTCTGCCTATGGCTACACAGTGCCCAGTTTAACCAGCATTCTCGCCAGCCTTTTTGCAAAGTCTGCAAGCTTCTACAACCCCATCATTTACTTTGGAATGAGCTCCAAGTTCCGGAAAGATATCTTCATGTTGCTGCACTGTGCCAAAGAGATCAAGGACCCTGTAAAACTCAAGCGGTTCAAGAAGCTCAAGCAGAAAGTGGAGAATTCACCTTCTCAAAGAGAAGAGAAATACGCAGCTGATGTTCTGCCTGCTCTGAGTCCTGATTCAGGTGTGGGGAGTCGCTCAAACACCCCACCCCCAGTAAACAGGGAAGTATATTTTGGAGCTTTGGATAGTCCATCCAACAATCCTGACATCGAATGTGACAGACTATGAGCTGCTCACAGCCCACCACCAGAAAATACATCCAATAGAATACTGCAGTCATCCTCAACCCACCATCCTTCAGATGTGTTGGACTACAGTTCCCATTATCGCAAGCCTAGAGATGATGGGAATTGCAGTCTGACTGTGGGAGGGCTGGAACACTGCTTGGCCAACGCTTGTGACCTCTGACCTGTTTCTCTAGCACTACTAATACAGCATGCCAGCTTGACATGAAATGAGGCAAGAAACAAAAAAAATAGTTTTGAATACATGCAAGATATAAATTTAAAAAGTCACCAAATTGCACTGCAGCTGATCCAATATAAAGGAGGGATCGTGGCAGATGAGAGCAACACATCTCCTGTGAGCAGGACAGCTGGGAGACAACAAACACAGGATGTTTTCATAGACAATACACCCACTGGCATGTGAAAAAAAAGGAATTACTAATATTTTCGCCCCAACCTAATTAACTTAATTTAGATGTTACTTATTTTTCCTGCCATTTTCATCCCTTGCTCAGAATCTTGGCTTTCATCCAACTTGTCCCCAGCTCTCACATCAGTGCATTGACTCAGAGAGCAGAGCAGCAGGAAAGGCAAAATATTGCCAATTGCACCAAAACCACTCTTCCCCATTCAGCCACCAGAGGGTGGGCAAGAGTTAGCACACCCCCATGGGAGACTGCACAATCCACAAAAGCTTATTCCAAATAAAACTGGGTGCAGTCAGACAGCTGGAAAGGGCCATTTTAATGGAAGTGATCTCCCTTAAAGTGACTCTTCAGCCTGCTGGGGAAATCTCACCAGCCCAGCTCACAGGTTGACCAAAAAGGTCCATCTTGGGCATGGATCAGAGTCAGTCTGAAGCGCATTTCCCTTTATATTGTGTGATCCTGGGAAACATATGGCACTGGTCTGCTCCACAGGTAGTCCAACATGCAATCTATTTGCCTGTGTGATTACACTCTTAGTCTTTAAGGCAGGACAAGTCCTTTTCATATTTGCTGTAACAAACATCCTTTCCTATCTACAAATCTCTGTTTGAAGTCCATTTCCCAGTATCTCTAAGCCAGCATGGCCTGATTTGGGTGAGAGTCTAGGAACTGATGTCCAAAACTTGGAAAAGTTCTTTTGGAAGAATAACTTCTCCAAACTCTGGTTCGAGGTAAGCAAAAGTCATCCCGGACTGCCTAAATAAATTGCTTTGTGGCACAGCTGTGATGGCGAGAATTCATTCTAATGTTCTTCCATCAAGCTTTTGTAGAATTCCTTTCAGCACCAGGAAGCTACTGTGTAATGGGAAGGAGTCTTTAGGTCCTGAAAATCATCACTGCTGGGATGATTTTTTTGAGGGGAGAAATCAGAAATACGTTATTTCTGAAAAATCGCTGTAGTTGATGTCATTACCTTGATGTGGCATAATTTATGGCAAAAAGGATTCTACGCGTAGCCTGTGTTTTATAGAGTTAAGTTCTTTTGGAAGAATAACTTCTCCAAACTCTGGTTCGAGGTAAGCAAAAGTCATCCCGGACTGCCTAAATAAATTGCTTTGTGGCACAGCTGTGATGGCGAGAATTCATTCTAATGTTCTTCCATCAAGCTTTTGTAGAATTCCTTTCAGCACCAGGAAGCTACTGTGTAATGGGAAGGAGTCTTTAGGTCCTGAAAATCATCACTGCTGGGATGATTTTTTTGATCGTAAGTCGAGACCCCACTGTATTTCTGAAAAATCGCTGTAGTTGATGTAATTACCTTGATGTGGCATAATTTATGGCAAAAAGGATTCTACGCGTAGCCTGTGTTTTATAGAGTTAATTTCCTCAGTCCAAGATAAAATTGTCATGTGAGGCAACATGGCCTCCCTTCTGCACAATATACAGGAGCTCATGCTGAGAGAGCACCAAAACTATGAAAAGCCATTGTTACTAAACTAACAGATGTTTTAGAGGGTGATTTCTAAAAACACATAGAGGCAGGATTGGGGGACTACAACTCCCAGAATTCTGCAGCAAGATAGACCTTGGACATCCTGGTAGTTGTACATCCTGGGAGTTGTACTCCAACTCTGTTTGGAATCTCAAGTCCTGTATATCATAAAAAGAAGGTAGCTACATGGTATGAAGGAAGAGAATAGCTTCCCTGCATATTTTAATGACGTGAATATGAGCAGCTTTCCTTATTACATTTCTCATACTTAGGAAAGATTTTAAAAAAATACATTGGAATTTTGCACTTTCCCAAGTGGGAGGGAGTGCAGTGGGAGGTGGAGGAGAAGGAGGCTACCGTGTTTTTCCAAAGACTGCATTTTTCTATTTGTATTCCTTGGGATGGTTACAAAAAAAGCCCACTTTCCTTTCCTCCTTCCGTATATTTGTTTTGAGATTATCATCTCTAATTTCAATTTTAAACAAATAAAATCTTTATAAGCAATAAGAAAGAGAACTATTGATTTCTTTGGGGGCTATGGATGAAGTGAAAGCATATTCAGTTTTAGGAGGAAAATGGAGAAATTGTTTGGCCTTAATTCCCATAACTAATGAAAAGCTAATAGATAACATGTCTGCTCCTGGCTATAATCATTTCAGAACCAGTTGAACCAATGGTGACAACAGCCAAGTCTTTTCCTCGACTTAGAAAGTGAAGCAAGATGATTCAGCAAAAACGTACTAAATCTGAGAGATGGCGTCTCTAGTTCAGCATTCTGTTCCCAAAGTGGCCAACCAGGCAGCTATGGAAAGCCCCACTGGGAAGACACAAACACAACACCAACCTCCTGGGCAACTGATATGTAAAGGCATACTAACACTAACTGGAGGGGATATATAGCTACTCAGTGTCTTCTTGAAGTTGTCCAGATTGGCAGTCATTGTGCCATCTTGTTGTGGCAACAAATCCCACAGTTTAACTACATGCTGTTTGAAGAAGTGCCTCCCCTTATCTGTCCTGTACTGCACACAATTCAGCTACAGTGGACACCTCCAGGTTCTAATATTATGGGATAAAGAGAAAACCCTCTCCACTCCCCTTTTCCCTGGGTAATTTTATACACCTATATAATATCCTTACTTACCTGTTTTAATAAGCTAAACAGTGCCAAACCTTTCCTCATAGGAAAATAGTTGCATGCATAGGGGATCATTTTGGTTGCTCTTTCTGTTCACCTTGTCCAGGTCTAGAGTATGTTTCCTCAGGTACAGTAACTAGACAGTTACATAGTGTTCCAGATGTACTAGAGCCATTTAATATTGATAGTTCTACATTTCCTTTTCTATAATGCCAAACATGAAAGTTGCATTTCTTATACCAACCACAAACTGGGTCAATGTTTTCCTTCAGCTGTCTACCACAATCCTAAGACAACTATTTTGATCAGCTCTTCCTGCTCAAATCCCATCAATGTATATGTAAAATTGGGGGCTAGGAGGAATTTCTGGGGAAAAGGTGCATCACTTTACATTTCTGTGTTTACTATTGGTTTCAGACCATTCCCCAGTTTGAAGAGATCCCGTCAAAGCTTCTCAAAATCCCTTCTTGACCTTGATACCTTTGATAATTCTGTGACATCAGCAATTTTGGCTACTTCACTACTCATCCCTAACTCCAAGTAATTTACGAATCAGCTAAAGCCTTTTAGAAGTAAACATAGGCCAAAATCCCATTGAGCTCTTACACTGGCATAACATAAAAAAGGTAAAGGTAAAGGTTCCCCTTAACAATTTTTGTCCAGTCGTGTTCGACTCTAGGGGGCGGTGCTCATCCCCGTTTCCAAGCCATGGAGCCAGCGTTTTGTCCGAAGACAATCTTCTGTGGTCACATGGCCAGTGTGACTTAGACACGGAACGCTGTTACCTTCCCACCGAGGTGGCCCCTATTTATCTACTTGTATTTGCATGCTTTCGAACCGCTAGGTTGGCGGGAGCTGGGACAAGCAACGGGCGCTCACTCCATCACGTGGATTCGATCTTACGACTGCTTGGTCTTCTGACCCTGCAGCACAGGCTTCTGCGGGTTAGCCCGCAGCGCCATCACGTCCCTCTGGCATAACATAAGTGGTGTAAATCTCAGTGCTGAATTGCTGCAAGTTAAGAAGTTATGCAGGAATTTTCTGTTGCATGCTATCACATGACTTGAGATCCAACAACAAATGCCTAAGCCAGACCTGGGCAGAAAGTCACTGTGCAATCATCCATCCTTTGCATATCAGATATTAACATTGACCTGTCCAAAGAGTCGGGTGGAAAAGCTGAGAGTAGAAAAAACAAAAATCCCAACCCCTTCCCACCCCACAATTATCATTATTTGAGGAGGACTGGAAGGATGATTTCTCATTGACCTTCCTCTCCCACATGTCTTCATTTTTACTCATTCCTGCAGCCTCCATTGAATTTTGCAGGGAATGAGTCAGGCGGGCCACACAATGAAAACCTTGTCTGGAAACACCCAGAGGTGGAAAATAGAACCAGAATTAGATGCTGTCAAGGAGAGCAAAACACACGCACACACTATATATGTAGTGAATTTTGAATTAGTGATAGGTTTGCCATATAACTTATGAAGGATATATCTTACTTATAATCTATAATTAGAAGAGGGAAGATCTTAAGTGCTGAAAGAAGTCTAATTGTCATAAGATAGACTGCCTCACCTCCAATACTGTATCTTGCAAATTGCTCTGTTTTGGGATTGGTCATTGGGAAGTAAACATGGATGGTGGGTTTTTTGTATGTATGTTTGTTTTGTGCAAATTTGATATCTCAGGCCTGAAGCTGCATGGAAATCCAAACTGGTAAGAGGATTTTGGGAGCTACCATGCAAAAAGATAATGTTCCTACACTCTGATTTGAAGGGTATCCTTTTCCCCCTTTGCACTTCCTTATTCAGCTGCTGATGCACTTAATTCTGGAACTTCTGAAAACAGTTCAGATTCTTTCTTTTTTCTTTAGAAGTTGATCAACATGTTGGTCATGCATGAGGTTTAAGCCACTGCATTGCTGATTCAGATAACCTGGCATCTGGTTCAGCTCAGCATGGACTAAATGGTCACAGCAGGCTCAGGAAACCAGAGCAAGCCTCTATGCTCAAGTACCTGGCCTCTTTAAAAGCACTTTGAACCACTCACAAATTAATGTTAGGCTTTTGCTAACCAGGCGTGGGACAATTTGATTTTCTCAGCAAGGTACTTGAAAACAAATAATTCAATTAATGAGAGAAACAGAGTGTAAAATTGCTTGGAGATATGTAGAATGGCACAAATAAATGGTGAGAGGGGGCACCTTCTTTGTGGAAAGACCCTCCAGAAGACAGCAGCTTGAGAAGCTTTCCTTGTTTACATTAACCGTGTGGCTGGTGTTTGACTTCCACAATAGCCCAAGCAGTCATTTCATTGGCAGTTGTTAAAAAAAGCAAAGGATAAAACTTGACTCTGGGGTAGCTGTGCTGCACTTTAATTCAAAAATACTCCAGTAGATACATTCCTCTGAATTCAACAATGGTTGGTGTAACGTTCAGCCCTGCCCTCACCTGTCCGTCACAGCTGGGCAGTGGAACAGCAGCCAATGAGGGGATGGAAGGTGGTGCTAAAGGGGGAGGAGCTGGGATATAAAGGGGTGTGTATGGTGTTTGAGAGATCAGTTTGAGAGTTTGAAAGAGAGAGTGAGTGAGATCTGGAGAGCTTGTTTAGAGGCCTGCGTGCCTGAGTGTCAGTGAGGGAAAGTCTATGTGATTGATTTAACTAAGTAGCAGTGGTTTACACCTTGATTATCTTCATGTGATTTACCTATTTTATTTTGTAATCAATAAACCAGTTTTTGTTTTTGAAAGAAACCCTTGTCCTTTTCATTTAAAGGAAAGGTTGGTGGCAGCAAGAATGTGTGGTAGCGTGGTGGACATTCTGAGAGGCCCGAGTAGGAGGTGACCTCAGAGTGTCTCAGCCACGTTACAGTTGGTTACATACATTTTTTTCCCAATGATTCAAGGCAAATGTTCCTAGCAAACAAACCAAGAAAGGTCAGTTTAAGAAATGCAGCTTTTGTTCAAGATGGTTGAGATGAAGGGGGGATTATAAGCAAGATGCTTGGCTTGCTTCGTGTTACTGGCCCCACTCTTCTGGGTGGGTGTGTCTTTTTATTTATTTTTTTCAATGTTAATTCTGGTATTGGAATCCAGAATTTCAAAATACAGTAATATGTTTAACCTGTCTTGATATGACTTTGAATTAACTTCTTCTGAAACTATATTCCTAGCCTGCCATTTCATGGTTAAAATGTCAAGGAGTCTTTGTAACTGAGAGTGTTACAGCCTTGGCTTAATCTAGACTGTTGTTCAGAAATTAATTATTGACCCTGTTCCTTACAAAAGAAGTCATAAAATTATTGACCTTTTTGGAGACCTCACAAGCGATATAATGAGTTTTCTTTTTCACAGAGTTCTGTAAATCAGTCTAACTTATT